TGTGCCTCATGTCAGGAAGGCACATACAGTAGAACCTTATCTTTACCTACGGTCAATGTGCCTCATGTCAGGAAGGCACATACAGTAGAACCTTATCTTTACCTACGGTCAATGTGCCTCATGTCAGGAAGGCACATACAGTAGAACCTTATCTTTACCTACGGTCAATGTGCCTCATGTCAGGAAGGCACATACAGTAGAACCTTATCTTTACCTACGGTCAATGTGCCTCATGTCAGGAAGGCACATGTCTTATCTTTACCTACGGAGTGCCTCATGTCAGGAATGTCTTGGAGGTTATGTAGGCTTGAAAGGGGCACTAGGCTAGTACAGTAGAACCTTATCTTTACCTACGGTCAATGTGCCTCATGTCAGGAATGTCTTGGATGTTATGTAGGCTTGAAAGGGGCACTAGGCTAGTACAGTAGAACCTTATCTTTACCTACGGTCAATGTGCCTCATGTCAGGAAGGCACATACAGTAGAACCTTATCTTTACCTACGGTCAATGTGCCTCATGTCAGGAAGGCACATACAGTAGAACCTTATCTTTACCTACGGTCAATGTGCCTCATGTCAGGAAGGCACATACAGTAGAACCTTATCTTTACCTACGGTCAATGTGCCTCATGTCAGGAAGGCACATACAGTAGAACCTTATCTTTACCTACGGTCAATGTGCCTCATGTCAGGAAGGCACATACAGTAGAACCTTATCTTTACCTACGGTCAATGTGCCTCATGTCAGGAAGGCACATACAGTAGAACCTTATCTTTACCTACGGTCAATGTGCCTCATGTCAGGAAGGCACATACAGTAGAACCTTATCTTTACCTACGGTCAATGTGCCTCATGTCAGGAAGGCACATACAGTAGAACCTTATCTTTACCTACGGTCAATGTGCCTCATGTCAGGAAGGCACATACAGTAGAACCTTATCTTTACCTACGGTCAATGTGCCTCATGTCAGGAAGGCACATACAGTAGAACCTTATCTTTACCTACGGTCAATGTGCCTCATGTCAGGAATGTCTTGGAGGTTATGTAGGCTTGAAAGGGGCACTAGGCTAGTACAGTAGAACCTTATCTTTACCTACGGTCAATGTGCCTCATGTCAGGAATGTCTTGGATGTTATGTAGGCTTGAAAGGGGCACTAGGCTAGTACAGTAGAACCTTATCTTTACCTACGGTCAATGTGCCTCATGTCAGGAAGGCACATACAGTAGAACCTTATCTTTACCTACGGTCAATGTGCCTCATGTCAGGAAGGCACATACAGTAGAACCTTATCTTTACCTACGGTCAATGTGCCTCATGTCAGGAAGGCACATACAGTAGAACCTTATCTTTACCTACGGTCAATGTGCCTCATGTCAGGAAGGCACACACAATGTTTGGCCAGCAAACACCAGCTCTTGCAGTGGCCACCTGTGGTAATCAGTCTCTGGTAATCACCCTCTAACCAGTCTTCTGTAGGCATAGAGAAGACGAGTTAAACATGTAAGTTTTCCAAATTAAAAGACTCTTTTACTTGAATGATACAAGAAAATAGATACAAAGAATCATGGAAATCTTACACAAGGGTTCCACTTTATATGCATCATTATGGGGCTAATTGCCCCATATATTAATCACACTAATTGCTATTGAATATTTACTAGCATTTTAACACCGATTTTCTTACTAATCAAAATGACAAATTAGTTTAATATCGGAGTCACCTCAATAACAACTTACTTCTATGACCATACATTATATTAGCCATACTTTAAGAATTAATTCTCAGTTAACCTCCTAACAAAGCCAAGCTATCACAGAACTAAAAATATGATCTACATATACAAAACTCTGTCCACACACTAACATCTTATGAAGGCAGATATAGAAACAAAATGCCAACTGCCCAGATAATACTACTGGCTCATCTGGTCATCACAGGATAAATATCAACTCAGTAGGTTCTGTCATATATGTAGTGAAGGTACCCTTTTAATTTAACCATCTTTCAGCCTTCATTAACCTTGCCAAAGAGAAACAAGCACTTTGTTCAAAGAAACAAACCTCACCCACTTGGCGAGAGTTTATTTTCTTTCAAAGTCTTAGTCATGAAAATCAGACCTTTAAATATCCCCAGCTAATGTTCCCTTTTCTGGAATATACATAGATATATGGGCCACTAGGCCTTCTGCAGTTACCTTCATTCTTATATAAATATAGGTAATGTTTTAATATTAACAAGCATACCTTGTTGATTCGCTGAACCAAAATATCACCAAATAAGTTACTCAATCAGCAAGGAGAACTTGAGCCACCTGAAAGGCCTTGTATTATAGTGGCTTTATATAAATTACATTAATTCTGTACCAATGAGTACTCTATATCATGTTTCAAATGTACTTTATGTAAATCAAAATGCTTATAATCATTTGATAACCCATCTACCAAACACCATGATACACAGCTGATGATGCACAGTCTTTACTTGGCCCTTATCATTCTCAACCTGTCCTTCGCTTGATTACTAGCTGTACTGTAGCAATGTATCATCATACCTGGTGAAGCTCCAAAAATCCATGGAGTTTTATTGTGACCTCCCAGTTACTGATGACATCCCAGCACTGCACTGGTCAGGGGTTTTGCTTCTCGTGACAGCTGATTACTTCTCTGGTGTGGAACACTAGGGAAACATCTAGCCTTTTCTGTTCTCGAATTAATTCTGACTGCACTGCTTCCTCATTCACTATACTGTACTACCATAGTACCCTCCTTGTCAACACAACTTTGGGGCTGCAGTTCTTGGTCTACAACCATTCCCAGGCAATGCTAGACATCCAATTTGACTGCAATCAAGGCCCAGAGCTGTTGGCTAATATCTGATTGCTCTCCACAACACCCATTGAAGTCTCATACTGCTCAGAAGGATGTTTTGAGATTGGCGCTAAAAGTCAGCAGGATTTCACCTTTATTAAATATCGCCAGCTAGTAACTCGTTTTTCATTTGATAGCAATGGAGTACCTAGGTTGACCACTTGGAGTCGAGTACACAGAGGGTGTATTTATGGAGCTTTCCTCCCAAAGCAATGCTAATATTGTATTAAGTCACTGGTGCTGTCCCGTTTTGAGTACTGCTCAGTGCTCACTTCCCCTTTCGGAGCAGGAAAGATTCCTGAAATAGAGGGAATATGGAGAGCACATATGGCATGCATTGACACAATAAAACACCTAAGTTATTAGGACCATCTCATAGTTATCAATTTTCTCTTGGGAAAGGAGACGACAGAGGTATCAAATAATACAGTGGAACCTTGGTTTACGAATGCCCGGGATTACGAATTTCGTTTGCCTTGGATTTTGAGTTCGTTGATTCATGTATGGATCGACGAGCCCGTGGGTTCTGCTGGGAGAGAGATCCTCACTTTACCAGTGTATCTCGCCTACTGATAACCACGCTTGAATTCTTTGTGAAGAATTTAATTGTTTTTCTGTTTTTTTGGTTTCTGAACATAAAAGTTATTATATATCAATCATGCCATGGACCCCAAGAAAGTCAGTGGTAAAGTTTAATCTAAGAAAATAGTTGAGTATCGGCAGTAGAGGATGTCTTTTCCTCATTAAGAAAATGTGTTTAGTATGGGGAAACTGCAAAGTTTTACTGAAAACAATTCACCCAGATAAAGCTGTAGCTGGCTGTTGCATTAATCTTTTTAATGACAATGTGGTGTCTCACTACAGACAAGTGTTGTAACATAGGGGAAAAAGTGTCTTTAGACAGATTCTTAATATGACAAGCAAGCAGTGAGCCACAATCAGGTCTCCGTGGAATGCCTGCAAAAGGTAAGAGAATGAGTAACCTAGAAATGTCACCACTGCCTGATATTATAATGGAAGGGGGTCTTAATTCCAAACACTAACACCCCTCCTCACCGTCTTCCATACACCAACAAGAGTCCTTAATAAAGGTAAAGTATAGTATAAAGTTAGAGTAGTATTCTGTATAAAATGTATTAAGTCAATATTTTTAGGTGTTGAACGGATTAATTCAATTTTCATTATTTCTCATGGGGAAAATTCGTTTCGGTTCACAAATTTTCGGTGTACAAACTGTCTCTTGTAACGGATTAAATTCATAAACCAAGGTGTCACTGTGTATACATGCAAGTTACTAGAAAGTCGGATCCCAAATTTCCCCAGTAGAATAACAACATACTGTACTGGAGAAAAAATATGGGAGGAAATGCAGACTAGAACCAGTGAGTAGTAGAGGTGCCATTGGCACAGTCAGAGAGCACTGAACATCAGAGGTTCACGGCTGTTCAATACACTCCCAGCAAGTACAGTGTTAGAAATATTACTGGAACAAAAGTAGACTACTTCAAGAAGCAATTAGACAAGTTTCTGCAAGAAGTGCCAGACCAACTGGGTTTTAGCGGATATGTGGGCCTGTGGGCCACTCGAAGCAACAGCCTGTTGTTCTCCCAGTTCTCTCGAAGGCTTCCCCAATCCTCGTGTGTGCGCACTCTCCAGTCTTACAAATGTTGTCCCATTCTCATGGGTGTTCCTCATTCTTGTGCACAGTTTCCCTGTTCTTGCATGTGCTCTCCATCCAGTTAACTTTAAGGCATTTTTAGTCATAATGACACAAGATAAAATAAATGCCTGGATAATGTGAGCAGTGTGCAAGTGTACTAATGAATGTCACCTTAATGTTTCTGGAAAATCTGCAGCTAACCCCATCTATCAGTTGCACTGTATAATTACTGATGTGTGTTGGGAATTTTTGAAGAAGTTTACAAGATGTTGATGGAACTGAAAACTGTGATGTTGAGGTATTTATAATGTGGTTTAAAAGCTTAAGAGTTTTTAGTGTCAACTGATGGATCACTTCAGGGTACAAAATATATAGCTGTAAGACAAATGATTTCAAGTAAAAATAAAAGAATACTACTCTACAATAAATTACATTATGCTCTATTATATTAATTCAGAGCTTTTTTGCAGTGATTTAAACTCTTCAACACAGTTTGTACAAGGCTTGGCACTGTGCACTCTTGGAGCTATTGCCTCTCCTGAAATGTCACGTGACCTTGCGGGAGAAGTTGAGAGACTCCTAAAATCTTCAAATGCATACATACGTAAAAAGGCAGCTGTTTGTGCTCTGCGAATTATCTGCAAAGTTCCGGAATTAATGGAGATGTACCTGCCAGCCACACGCTCACTCCTGTCTGAAAAGAATCATGGTGAGTCATTTGAAATGTATAAATCTGGTCTGTATTGGCTTCCTGATTTAACAATTTAACCCTGTTGCACTTTATTTTGGTCTCATTGTAATTATCTTGGACCTATATAGGCCAAAACTTTCTTCTAGTAGGTACCTCTTCTGGCTTCCTGAAGCTGTCTTGTTGAGATGGATCCCAACTACTAGGTCACATCAGCCACAAAGTTCTGTTTGGCCTACTGGGACCAGAGCTAGAACTTGGGCCCCTCTTACTGAGGGGTAGAGAGCAAGCAGGTGAAACTCCGTCACCCCATCAGAGAAGCATCCCGAAACTCGGTGAACTAATGCAAACCATTGCTGGGTTCAAAAGGACCAAAGCCTCAAACATTGTCAAACGAACCCCCAACAATATAAACAAATGGTCGAATCTCAAAACGAGCACAAGCTCTGGATCAAGGCAGTTGATCCATCTAGTCTTGCTGAGGTTTTGGCTCTTCCAAAGGCTCTTCTGAGGCTCTTTCTGAGCCTGCGTGTTTGGCTTCTGTGGCTTGGGGCGAGTTTGATAGGGGTCATTGGGTTGCTTAATACTCCACTTAGTTCGTATTTCCTTGCGACGAGTGCCTTTTTCTTCATGGGGAAGAAATGGGTTCTTCATGGGTTCTTTGTATGATTTTTATCTTTCTGTGGTGCTCTTTTTAGTGTATTTCTGCGTACTCTACAATCCATCAGATTCATTCTTCCAGAGGTTTCCTTATCTCCTTCCTTCATATTACCTGGGTGGCTTGGGAGGATCTGTTTAATTACCATCTATGTGGCCTGTATTTTGCCTCTGTTAGACCCCTACCTCCTTAGAGTTTGAGTCGTCCTCGCTGTATTGGCTAGGTTATAGGGGTTATAGAGGTTATATATATATGAGGTTATAGAGTTGTCCTGGCAGGCAGACAATCCTCTCTCTCTTCCTAGGGGGTTTACACAGCTTCTGTCATTTCTACATGCTTCAGTGGTTTGAGACTTTGGAAATGTTTTTGGGTGGTTTCTCTTTTAGACCACTCAATGACTGCCTGTTTGCTCCTGCTCTTTCCTGGGATATGAGGTTGATGCATCTGCATGCCCAGTTTCCCTCACTGTCTGCAGCTCTTGTGACGCGTGACATGTGGGCTCGCTTGCACTTGGCTACAGTCTTGCATTTTCTTGTCCTCGTGGAACCAGTTAGAAAAAAGGCTTGGTATGTGCGAGTGCCTTGTTGCATGCTGTGGCAGCTTCAGCTTTTTTGCCTAAGCTAGTTGTACCCATACTCTGGGAGGCAGTTGTGGCATTCTACTTTGCCCATCTCAAATGTTGGCTGGCTGTTGGTCTAGTTGTTAGAATTGGGTTGGTCCTTGGACCTTTTGTCTGCCTCCCATTTTTTGCCTGCCCTCTTTCCAAGGATGATGCACAGTTCTTTACTTCTGTGAAGGCTTCCCCATTTCTCATTATGTACTTGGGGTTCTCATCCTCGCTTTTGGAGGCAGTTGGATAGGGGTGGGGCTTTGCCTGCTGCTGGTTGGGGTAAGTCCTCATTGTAACTGGATTCTGGGGTCTCATGTGCCTCCCTCTGTTGGTTCCTTTTCTGTTCATCTGTGCTGCTCGTAAGCTTCATGGTAAAACACCACTGCTCATGGTTTATGCAGGCCATTTTGGAGTTTGCCTCTTTAAGGGGATGGTGGAGAATGGCTCGCCTGGCATTTCAACTCCTGGTCTCACAATTTGAGGGCTTTTTGGGTCATTTCTCAAACCCTTTGATGGAGTTGGTCGGTGCCTTGCTCCCTCCTGAAGGTTGGGGCGTCTGAGCCAGGCCTCTTCCCCCCTTTGCCTCCATTGAGTTTTTGTATAGTGGGTGGCTTCTAGCTTGGTCTCTAGAGGACTGTTTCTTCGTTGGGTGTCTCGCCTCTTCCTGGTCCCCGACTGGGACTTGGTGGGGTTCCACTTCATTCTCGACTTTTCAGGGTTGAACATGTTCATCACCTACCTCATTTTTTTGCATAACTACTCAGGCCCAAGTTCGCATCACGTTGGGGGCTGGGGTTTGAATGATTTATCTGGATCACAAGGACACTTATTGGCATGTACTCATACATCCAAGGTTCGGAGCTTGGTTAGGTTTCATCATGGGACATCAGACTTAACACTTCAGAGTCCTTCCTTTTGGCTTGAACATGGCTCCCCCATGTTTTAACCAAATTGGGTACGGTCATGGTAACTCGTCTTCATTTGTTGGGGGTATGTATTCTGGACTACCTCAACAACTGGCTGGTTTAAGTCAATTTGCGTGTCTGCTAGCCAGGGATTTGGCTCTTTCCCAGCTCACTCGCCTGAGTTTCCTTGTGAATTGGCAGAAATCTTGGTTGCTTCCATTCCAGGTTGCATTTTGCTCATTTGCCGTACGAGCCTTCCTGGTCTCTTGATCATGTTGTCACCTTCTTATTTCGTTTATGGTTCCCCTTTGATCTGCAATTCTTTAAGACAGTTTTTCTGTTAATTTTTCTACAGAGGCAGAGCTATTGTTCTCCTAGTCCAGGTGGGTGTCATGTTCATTTGGAGCCTTCTCCTTTTCTGGCAAAGAATGAGTTGGCAGGCTTCTGGAGGGGTCCTTCACTTGTTGATGCCTGGTTGGTTCACCTGGGGGTGCATCATGTGCTCTGCCCGCTCGCAACTCTTTGCCGTTGTTGTTTCTTCTTTGTTTTAAAAATCTGTGGTGTGTCATCCCTGGTAAGTCCCTTGTCTTTCTTCTCTGTGAGTAGTTAGCTTCAGGAAGCTGCAAAAGGCTCCTTCAGAAAATCAGCATTAGATATAACCCATTGGATATAAAAAATTGGAGGGGGTTATATTCAATAGCACAGAGCTCTAGGTTTCCCCCAGCCTTCCAAGCCAGTTCTGGAGCATATGTGAAGAATATGCTTACTAACCAATGCACCTTCCTCCTGGAAGGGAGGGAGGGAGGGAAATCAGGAAGCCACTGGGATTCATTAGAAAGAGGCATTTCTTCAGCTAGTGCTAAGGAGTTCATGCTAGTTTCCATAGATTCCATTATTTACATTGTTTAGGGAGTTTGGCAGCTTCTAGGCTTTGGTCTCTCTGAAACAAGCAGTCATCTGAACTGGTCCAAATATTTTCTGGATGCTTTCCCTGTTGTGTGGCAGTGTCATCCTGTGTCTGGGCACTGTAGGGGGCCAGGTTCTGGCTGTGGTCCTTGGTGGTCCTAGCAGAACTCTGCAGCTGATGTGACCTAGTAGTTGGAAGCCATATCAGCAAGATACCTTCAGGGATCCACCGTGGCTTTAACAGAAAGAAGCGTTTCATTGCATTCAATGCCGTTTGTTTTATTTGTACATGTGTATAATTTGCATGGAATCAGTGTTTCCAAGCCACTAATTGCTTCCTTTTATTAGTGTTTAGGATTGATGTAAAATATGGAATATTTCCTCAAGAATTATATTCTGTATCTAGGTTATAATATATAATATATATATATATATATATATATATATATATATATATATATATATATATATATATATATATATATATATATATATATATATATATATATATATATATATATATATATATATATTTAGTATTATATATTAATGTTAATCATTCATATGGCTGACATAGTTGTTCTTATGGATTTTTAATAGTCAAGAGACAGAAAGCCTATTAGGCCTATTGAGGTCCTCCTAAGCCAATTATTGACCTATCCAGAATGCAACCCCCCCCCCCCCCCCCCACAGCTGTCTAACTCCCAGGTACCTATTTACTGCTAGGTGAAAGGAACGGAAACATTGGCCAAATGCTTCTCTTGCTGTGGTTAGAATATAACATACATCTTTGAACAACTCGATCCACATTAATGTGATGTGTCAATGAGGAAGTCGGTAGGAGCCATGCGGAGGATTTGAACCCGCACACTTGGTACTCCCGTGCACATGCCTTAGACCACTACGCCTCGACATGGCCAAATTTGACCATGTCCTCCTCGTGGCTCCTACTGATTTTCTCGTACATATTCACAAATGAAAAGGGATGCAGTGGATACTTTTTATGTGTACACTGTGTACATGTATTGTTAGAAGAGATGCACATGATATATTTGCTTGTTGCTGATGCCAGTGTGTTTCTGCATGTAGGTGTGCTGATCACAGGCGTCACGCTGATCACAGAGATGTGCCGCCAGTCTCCGGACATGCTTGCTCACTTCAAAAAGGTGCGCCTTCCAATATTTCTAGTATTTTAAAGTACTGTGCTGTATTTTCTTTCCAGATGCATCAACGAGATTAGTTTCCGTCATTATTGGTGAAATGTGTGTTTAGTAGTTACTGTATTAATAACATACAGTATACTGTACTTGATAATTAAGGATAGTGTAAGATTGAGGGTAACTGTTTAATGAGATGAAATTATCAAGATCAGTTGATATGAAGGTGTGTTTTATGGTTATGTGGTGTTATGTTGAGTGTGGTGTTTATGATTGTAACATAGGAAATTCTTTTAGAAAGAAGTAAGGAAGTGAAACTGGGAAGTCTTGTGGAGGAATAAATGTTAGATATAGTCACATGAAAACAGTGAGTTTTGAAGAGGAAATTAGAGAGAGGTCATCAGTGGGAATGCTGTGGGTGGTAGTGATGTGTATACACACAAGTAATGGTAATGTCTTTGTCTTCTCTCAGACATAATAACTTTGGATAAAATCCCACACTTAAGTATTTGGGAATTTTATATAAAGATTTACACCAAGTCTTTTACACTCTTCTGAGTACTTCGTTAAGGTCTGAGTGTGTGGTTAGGACGAGACTTGCATCTCGACGATGCAAATACAGTAAATTGCCAGATTGAGAAGTGTGTCAGGATGGATTGTTTGAGAATATTAAATGTGAATAGACAATGGTAGACAAGTAAGTAATATGTTTAAAGTGAATTTGACAATAAGTGGAGTAGACAGTTGCGGAGGAGACAGGCATACATGGTGAGTATTCACCTAGCTGTACTCGCTTAGTTGTTCCTACATGGAATGAGCTAAGGCTCTTAGGTCCTGGCTCTCAACTCTTTTTGACTGGTGTACAGGTTCCAGAGCCTATTGGACTTTGTCATGCCTTTATTAAAGACTATATTGAGTCTGGCTGCAGTGCTTCATGTTTTAGCAGAGGAAGCAATTTAAAAACAGGAAATGAATGTAAATTACAGTGGGATTCTCATTTTTTTTGGCTTCTTGGGTTAACCTGTAAGAGAAATGTCCAGTTCTCCATCTGCACTTACCAGAAGGTACGGCAGCAAATGCTTGTGGCTGGAACCGCCAGAGGCCAGACTAGGCAGGAAGACACTCGCTGGGAGTGAATGCTTGGAGAAAGGGCTGCCACGAGCCAGGCTAAGTGAGAGCAAGCACTTTGTGAAGCAGTGAACAATATGGGTGATGGGGGAATGCTCATTTGAACCATGTAGGAGGAAAGTAAAAGATCCCTCATATAAAAGGAGCTCTTTGTATGCTCTTATATGTCGTGTTTAGTAATTTTAACTTATTTTGACTAGGCAAAATGTACTCGCCTAGTTGTGCTTGCTGGGGTTGAGCCTCGGCAGTTTGGTCCTGCCTCTTAACTGTCAATCAACTGATGTAAGTAATGTGAGGTGAAAGTAATGCTAAAGGGGAGGTAAGAGGTTTGCATCTCAGTTTTTAAGATAAGCTAAGACTGATAGAAAAACTAGAGAATGTTACCGGTGTTGCGAGCATGACACGAGGGTATGACGTTGAGACCGGAGCCATTTCATACATTCACAAGCAAAAGGACAAAGTTGCTGAAATTCGCTGCTGACCTGTTTGGACTTGCTAGTTGAAGTCAGAAATACAGTATTCCTCAAGTCAGTTACATATTTGGACTTCATAACACTGCTGCATCTCGGTGATTCATACATAATAGTGAATGTATTCATACAAAGACTGTAATTGAAGAACAGGCTTTGCTTGCAACTGAGAAGTTTGCTTTTCATTTTGGGATTACAGACTTTAAAGGTAGCTTAAGAGGGGGGGGGCTTGCGGGTTTAAAGAAAAAATTGACAAAACTTTTCAGTACCAATGTCAAGTGCTGATCAGTTAAGAGGAAATTACAAAATTATATGGATTAAAAAATGGTGAATTATTTTAAGTTTTATAATGCTTATGAGACTACTTTCAGCTGGAGATGTTTATCCAGTGTGGTATTAGCTAGCAAGCTAGAGGAAAGTGTGGGGTTATGAAGTATGGGGTTTGGCAGGTTCATTATGTCCACGCATAATGAACTTGCCAAAAAAGTCTCCCAGTCAAGCTACCCCAAATAGGGTAACCTCATTCATCTTTGCCAACATACAAGGACTAAAAACAAGAACGAAAAAAAGTACCATTCATAAATGGCCTCCTCACTGAGTCAAATGCAGTATTTGGAGCTTTAACAGAAACCCATGCAGGGGAATTCTTGGATAGTGAGTTCTGGATACCAGATATAATTTATACAGGTGTGATAGGGTAAATAGGTCACATGGAGTTGGTCTGTATATTAGGGAAGACCTTGTATGCTCGGAACTCCTTAACTCTGCAAATGAGGTGGTAGAGGTACTGAGAGTAAAAATAGAGGAAATAAACTTAGTTATTATTCTAATATACAAACTGCCAGATGCAACGGCTATGGAATTCACAGAACAGATAACAAAATAGAGAATAGCCTTGATTATTTGATTATTTATTACCTGATATGGAGACTTTAGAGATACCTTCCTAGGTGACTTTAACTTACCCAATCTAAGATGGAGAACAGCAAACAATAATAATATACCAGGAAATCTATCGGGACATAACCAATCACAGATTAGAGAACTGCTTAGATTCTGTGACAAATTTTCACTCAACCAGCAGATATCAGAGCCAGCGAGAAACGAAAATACTGTATTCTAGATCTGGTCTTTACAAACAATGAAGACATAATTAGGGACATTACGATATAAAATACCACATACTCAGATCACAAGCTCATTGAAGTGCAAACTACCAACAACACTCGGACCTAAAACAATGATAAGCAAGAGGGGTTATTCAGTAAATTCAATTTTAATTAATAATAAAGGATAGACTGGGAGACAATAAACAGGGAACTTATAAGCATTCCTTGGGAAACTGTTCTAAGTAATAAAAATCCTACAGAAGGAATAGAGCAACTGACTTTGGAAGCATATCAAGTCTGTCTGAAGCATGTTCCTTTGAGGAAAGCCAGAATGAGGTCCATCGTAGAAAGAGAACACAGACGATACTATAAAAAAAAGGAAAAAAATAATGGAAATGCTTAAGCAGACACGACTTTTACTACAAAGAAGAAATAATTTAAACGGATATTGAAGAAATGAGCAGAAACTGAAATACTCATATCAGATTGAAGAAAGGCAACTAGAACAGAAAGCCATTCAAGAAGTAAAGAAAACCCCAAAATATTTCTTCACATATGTGAAATCAAAAGCAAAAACCACTGCCAGTATTGGACCTATGTATTCATACAAGTGAAGGTTCATACATGAAGGACAACAAAGAAATTAGTGAAATTCTAAAAAAGCAGTATGAGGACATGTTTAGCACTCTGATAAACAGCTTGAAAGTGGAAGATCCGGACAACTTGTGAGAAATTGAAAACGTGCCCATGCACTCAGCTCCGGGTCCAGATTCATGGAATTCAATATTTATAAAGAAATGCAAGGTGCCAGTAGCACAGGCACTCAGTATAGTGTGGAGGAAGAGCTTGGACATGGAGGAGATACCAGATGTGCTAAAACCAGCAGACATAGCCCTTCTACACAAGGGAGGGAGTAAAGCATTGGCAAAGAATTATAGACCAGTTGCACTAACGTCCCACATAATCAAAGTATTTGAGAGAGTGATTAGGAGTCAGGTCACTAGTTTCATGGGGCCCAATGACCTTCACAACCCAGGCCAACACAGATTTAGAGCAGAAAGATCGTACCTCTCACAGCTAGAAGAAAAACAGAATGCAGATGTGGTATACACGGACTTCGCAAAGGCATTCGATAAATGCGATTATGGAGAGATAGCACACAAAATGAGGTCAATGGGAATAACTGGTAAAGTAGGACACTGGATACTCGGTTTTCTGTCGAACAGAACACAGAGTAACAGTTAATCATATAAAATCGAGTCCAAGCGCAGTTAAAAGCTCTGTACCTCAGGGTACAGTCCTTGCACCACTGCTTTTCCTTATTTTCATAAGATAAAATTACAAGTCACAGCTTTGTATCATCCTTTGTAGAAGACACAAAAGACAGCATGAAAATTACCTCTGATGAAGACATTGGAAAACTTCAAGCAGGTATTAATAAAGTTTTCGACTGGGCAACGGAAAATAACATGTTTAGCAGTGATAAATTCCAGGTACTCAGGTACGTTAAAAATGAGGACCTTAAACATAATACAGGGTACAAAACACAATCAAATCAGCCCATAGTAAGTAAGCAGCATGTAAAGGATTTGGGAATAACGAGGTTTGATGACCTGATGTTTAGGGGAGCATAACCAAACAAATATTGCGTCAGCCAGAAAAAATTATTGGATGGATTACGAGAACTTTTAAATCCAGGGATCCCATCACAATGGTTGTACTATACAAATCACTTGCACTGTCCTGTCTTGAGTATTGCTCAGTACTCACTTCTTCCTTCAAAGCAGGAGAGATTTGTTGAAATGGAGGGAATACAGAGAACATATACGGCATTTATAGATGTGATAAAGCACCTAAATTATTGGGATTGTCTCAAAGCTCTCCAAATGTACTCACTAAAAAGGAGACGAGAGAGAGAGAGAGATCCATAAATATTCACATGGAAAATACTGGAGGGCCAGGTCCCAAATCTACATAATAAAATAACAATGTACTGGAGTGAACGATATGGAAGAATGCAGAATAGAACCAGTGAAGAGCAGGGGTGCCATAGGCACAATCGGAGAACACTGTATAAACATCAGAGGTCCACTGTTGTTCAACATCCTCCCAGTGAGTATAAGAAATATTGTCGGAACAACCATGAACATCTTTAAGGGAAAACTAGATAATTTTCTTCAAGGAGTGCCGGACCAACTAAGCTGTGGTGGGTACGTAGACCTGCGGGCCGCTCCAAGCAACAGCTTAGTGTGTAACAACAGTATTAAATATGAACTAATAATGTAACACCACTATACAGTAC